GGGAGTGTAAACTAGTGCACCTCTGTGGAAAAGCAGTGTGGCGATTCCTAAAAGCTCTAAATATCAACCTCCCATATGACCCTGCAATCCCCCTACTGGGAATATACCCTGAAGAACTCAAATCACTCGATCAGAAAGATACCTGCACAAGAATGTTTATCGCAGCGTTGTTCACAATAGCAAGAATCAGGAACCAACCATGCTGTCCATCAAAAGAGGCTGGATTAAAAAAATGTGGTACATATACACGATGGAATACTATGCAGCCATAAAACAGAACAAAATCATGAATTTCGCAGCAACCTGGATGGAACTAGAGTCAATAATACTGAGTGATCTCTCACAGAAACAAAGATCTGAGTATCACATGTTCTCACTCATAAGTGAAACTTGAACATCTATTGTAATACTATAAGAAAAAGATTCAGGCCGGGCTCGGTGGCTCAGTTTGTAATCCCGCGCCTTTGGGAGGCTGAGGTGAGTGGATTGCCTGAGCCCGCAGGTTCGAGATCCGTCTGGGCAGGCGAGACCTCATCTGTACAATAAATCAAAAAAAACTAGCCGGGCGTGGTCGTACGCATCTGTAGTTCCAGCTATTCGGAAGGCTGAGACGGGAGGGTCGCCGGATCCCGGCAGGTCGAGGCTGTGGTGGCCGGGAGCGGCCACTGCACTCCAGTCTGGGTGACAGAGTGAGACTTCGACTCAAAAAAAAAAAAGAAAAGGATTCAGAGTTGGGGAAAACCATGAGGGGGGCAGGTAGGGGAAGGGAGATGGAATTAACAATAGTCAATATCTGTCTGGGGACGGGGAGACACCTCTTACCAACAAGGGTGACCGAACGAAGCATATTTGTATACCTAACCCTTAACTGTACCCCACAATATTAAAATAAAAAATATGTTAAAAAAAAAAAAGAAAAGCAAAGAGGACCTGGGTTCAAGTTCCACACCCTTGGAAACAATACAGCTGTGTCTTATGTCAAGTCACACCACAGCCTTATCCAAGTCACTCTCCTTCTCGAGCCTCAGTTTCCCTCCAAGTCTACACCACCCAGAGATTATGGGATGATGGCTGATAATACTGGCGGTGCTCCCCCAAGTCAGACACGTCATAGGTGCTCGGTGAATGCTAATTCTGGCAAACAGGGAGCGTGGTCACACCAGAGTGCCCCCATCTGGCGGAGTCAAGCTCAGATAAGATTTCCCTCCTCCAGGAAGCCTCCCCAGCCCCCACTCCCAGGCCAGTAGCTCCTGGACTCAGAGGCTGGGCCTGAGTCTTTTCTCAGCTCCAGCAGGGAGGATCTGTCCGATGAACAAGGGACAGAAGCAAAGAAAGCAAGCCAGCCTCAGAGGAAAACTGCCCCTCAGCCTGGGTCCATCCTCACAACCACTAAGGACGGAAGAGGGGCTCCAGCCTCCGCTTCCTCCTCCTCACATCAGCTCTGGGAAGTGGAGCTGCTTTGCCCTTGACACAGATGAGGTCGCTGAGACTCACCTCTGCAGGATTAAAACCCAGATTGAAGTCAGGCTCGGTGGCTCAGCCTGTAATCCCATGCCTTGGGAGACTGAGGTGAGTGGATTGCCTGAGCCCGCGGGTTCGAGACCCGCCTGGGCAGTGAGACCTCCTCTCTACAATAAATCAAAACTCAGCCGGGTGTGGTAGCGC